CTCTTTGACCTGTCTGTCTCCTCTCCACCTATCTTCTCCTCTATCCACCTTCTATCTGCCTCCCCCCTCTCCCTATTTATTTCAGAACCCCCTTCACCTCCCCCATTTCTGATGAAGGGTCTGGGCCCGAAACGTCAGCTTTCCTGCTCCTCTGATGCTGCTTGGCCTGCTGTGTTCATCCAGCTCTACACCTTGTTATCTCAGATTCTCCAGCATCTGCAGTTCCTACTATCGCTCAAATTTCTGAGTTCACTTCTGGGGAAGGGTCATCGGAGGCAAAATGTTAACTCTGATTTTACTTCACAGATGCTGCCAGATCTACTGAGCTTTTCCAGCAACTTCTGTTTTTGTCTCAAATTTTTCCTTTTGTTTGGACATTGGAAGCATATATTTCTGAAAAGCATTTAGAGATTAGAGACGGGTCCCAAAGATTGATCTAGCCTTTCCTGTTGATCCAGTTCACCCTTTTTTTGGCACCACCTTTTGAAATCTTTTTCCATGCGAGATAAAAATCAAAATATTGTTTCTCACTTGAGGGTTGTTATGAAAATTTTGATTTCTTCGTCCTGATGGATATTGGAAAAAATCAATTTGACATGGACATTTATACATTTTTAAAAGAAATGTTTTCAAATTTCTTCATTTTAGCCATTGTCATTTCCACAAGACTTTATCATTCTTGTACTTTCTTCTGTATTCAATGAGTTTTGGTAGGGTTTGTTCTTAGCCTATCCTTTCAACTGAAAACCACTTCTTTTTGCCATCATTCTGCTGGAAAGTGATGATGACCAAAATAGCCTATAAAATGCCTTAATGTTTGTACAGCGAGAGATGAAAAGTAATTTGGTTGTATTATTTTCTACTCATGTTTGAGCAAATGAGCATCTATAAATTAATTGCACAGTTTTTGAGGTGTTGCTGCTACATCCCAGCAGCCAACATTTTAGTGTTTTATACAAAGTTTTGAGCTGACTGTTCTAGAAAGTGAGCCTGACTACAAGGCCTCTAATTGTAGCAAACAGGCTCTTTTAAACTTTCGTTCAAGTTTTGTAATATTGCTATTAAGTTAGTCCTTGCTATTTACCATCACTGTTCCTCATCATGGTTTGTATCAATTCTGATCATTTTCCTAGCTTTAATTTGAGTTCCTTTAGGATGAACAAGTTGACATTTAGCCTGATTCAGTCATGTTGGCTGGAATTTTGCCAGTAGCATGCTGTTTCTTACAAGCTAAATGGACTGGCATGCCTCTTGCTTGGCACATATTGGTCAAAGGAAATTTGGGGATGTTTCCTCCTAATGTGGAAGAAACAATGGGTGGAATTTTCCGCAGCCATGATTGGCATAAGCAAAGGCAAGATATTTGGAAAATATAACATAAATAGAACAGTGAGATTCTCAACATTGTGGAAGAAGACTTCCAATGTTCCCTTGAGGCTTAAATGGGAGTTCAGTGTCTTGCTAATGAGCAGTGGCCATCTTATTTCCATGCATTTGCCTGTTGTTATTAGCTAAACTCCCCTCATTTCAATGCAGTTCCATATTCTACTTGCCTTTCCTAAAAAGTAGACAACACAAATTCTGACGTTAAAGTCAATGGTTATCCAGTGGCAGCAGGCTACCACTTGTTTATCCAGTCCTCATTTCAACCCTGTCCCTGCATGGTCCGTAGACACATTCCTCTTCCATCCTTCATCCATCACCAGTGGATATCACCAAACAATCAGCTTCACCACGTCAGGGCTGCTTTCAGTCTACTTAACACGTGACTTCCGTTTGGAGCTTGGGGGCAGCTATGTCTTGCATCCTTCTTCAAGGACACTTTGCAGCACAGGCACACAGACACCTCTTGCATTGACACAGGATGTATCTTATAGCTCTTAGCTTATTTTCTTAGCACCCACCCATTCTGCACAGTGGCTTCATTTGTGGCTTGCAGTGCATTTATTGCAGAGAGAGGCAAGCAGCTCAGAGCACTGAACAGTCAAGGAGGGGAACATGTGGCTGAATGTCTCCTTACCACATCAATATTGCACCTGCACCACGTGCCCACAGCTTTCACAGCAAACATGCTGCATGTGATAAGTTGAAAGGAACACATCCTTGGTGGGCTCAAGCGGAACTGTGGTCAGTCAGAGTGAACCACCACAGCCAGGTAAAGGGCTTGTCTGATTCCAGCCCAGGGGGTTGGCTTTGGTCGTCAGGTAATCAAAATTTCCCTTCCTGCCTGGTTCAGTCACCTTGCATGCCACATTTCCTGCTCCTGAGATTTTCAGAAAATCCATCCCTGTTTTTACAAGAATTCTGTGCCATGTCCTTGCCATTCTTATTGTTTTGTGTATGTTTATCTTATTCAGTCCTCTAATCAATTGTGAGTGATTGCCAGTTCTTTTCAAATGTTACAGCAGTACAACATTGCGTAGTTATCCGTCACAACCAAAAGAAAATTGTTTTATATCTAAAACAGACTACAATTATTCTGGATATTTTCCAACTAGCATAATCCTCAGTGTACCTTGTGGTCTCGATCAAACACCAGTTGTCAGAATGGGAAGCTTATACTTTCAACAGTTATAAATCCTGTACAGTGATAGAATTCCACCTCATTCACCAAACCTTGAGAGAAAGTTAGATCATAAATAGTCTCCAATCCCCAAATGTTGTTGAGTGAATATTGTAACAAGGTGTAGAGCTGGATGAACACAGCAGGCCAGGCAGCATCAGAGGAGCAGGAAAGCTGATGTTTCGGGTCTGGACCCTTCTTCAGAAATGGGGGAGGGGGAGGGGACTCTGAAACACACAGAGAGAGGGGAAGGTGATGATGGAAGGTGGATAGAGGAGCAGATGGGTGGAGGGAAGACGGACAGGTCAAGGAGGCGGGGATGGAGCCAGTAAAGGTGAGTGTAGGTAGTGAGTTGGTCAGGTGGGAGGGAAGACGGACAGATCAAGGAGGTGGGGATGAGGCTAGTAGGTAGGAAGTGGGGGCGGGGCATTGGTCAGTGAGGTGGGAGGAGCAGATAGGTGGGAGAAAAGACAGACAGGTCAAGGAGATGGGAACAAGCTGGGCTGGTCTTGGGATGAGGTCAGGGGTGGGGAGATTTTGAAGCTTGTGAAGTCCACATTGAGACCATTGGTCTGCAGGGTTCCCAAGCGAAATATGAGGTGTTGTTATTCCAGCCTTCGGGTGGCATCGTTGTGGCACTGGAGGAGGCCCAGGATGAACATGTCGTCCAAGGAGTGGGAGGGGGAGTTGGTTTGCGACTGGGAGGTGCAGTCGTTTGTCACGACTGAGCGTAGGTGTTCCACAAAGGGGTCTCCAGGCCTCCGCTTGGTTTCCCCGAACAGCACCTCATATTTCGCTTGGGAACCCTGCAGCCCAATGGTCTCAATGTGGACTTCACAAGCTTCAAAATCTCCCCAACCGCAACTGCATCCCAAAACCAGCCCAACTTGTCCCTGCCTCCTTGGCCTGTCCGTCTTTTCTCCCACCTATCCGCTGCTCCCACCTCACTGACCAACCTCCACCTCCACTTCCTATCTACTAGCCTCACCCCTGCCTGCTTGACCTGTCCGTCTTCCCTCCCACCCACCTGCCCCTCCCTCCTCACTGACCAACCCCCATCCCAACTCCCTACCTACACTCACCTTCACTGGCTCCATCCCCGCCTCCTTGACCTGTCCATCTTCTATCCACCTATCTGTTCCTCTAACCACCTTCCATCATCACCTTCCCCACCTCTCTCTTTATTTCAGAGACCCCCTCCCCTCCCCCATTTCTGAAGAAGAGTCCAGGCCCGAAATGTCAGCTTTCCTGCTCCTCTGATGCTGCCTGGCCTGCTGTGTTCATCCAGCTCTACACCTTGTTATCTCAGACTCCAGCATGGGCAGTTCCTACTATCTCTGAGTGAATATTGTATTGTTCTGAACAAAAAAAAACTTTGTCCAGTGATTTTTTTTTTCTCCCCTTTTGCATTCCTGAAAATGCACCCTCATCTAGGAGTAGAGTTTATGGGTATTGGTCATATTGTGATACCTTAACTGACTGCTGTGAACTTAGGCGGTAAGAATCAGCAGGTTTGAGCATGACATCGCCACAGATGTGCTGAGTCCTGTTCTCACCTGATAAAAGCCATTTGTACATTTTTCCAGTAGGGGTCGCTGGTTTTCAATGAGAATGAAATTGGTTGCAAAAACAAAGTTGCTAGAAAAGCTCAGAAAGGTCTGGCAGCATCTGTGGAGGAGAAAACAGAGTTAACGTTTCGGGTCCAGTGACCCTTCCTCGGAGCTTTTCCAGCAACTTTGTTTTTGTTCCTGATTTACAGCATCCACAGTTCTTTTGGTTTTTATAATGAAATTGGTTGGCTAGTTCCTATTCCGCCTCCTAACTGAAGGAGATACTGGGTTCAGTTGTAGTAACAGTATTGTATTTGCAAAACATAACTTCACCTAGATGGGGGATACAACCTGTAGCTGTTGTGAATTCTGTGGCATATTCATTTGGGATACTCTTGGAAAGAAATGAAGAATGATTTGCATTGAGGAATTTCACAGGTTTAAGCTGAATTTTTGTGATTTCTAAGATTAAAGTTGTTGCTTTGAGGTGTATTTAGTTTAGAGGTTTCTCAGATTATGGAATATTATTGTATATTTCTTTTATCCCATCCTGTTTAATTTCCCATTATTGATATCTTTCAATCTTTCTTCTACACAGATAAATGAAAACTTGTATTTCTTCACTGTATAGAATTTTGGAATTCTGTGCATTTTGAGCACTCACTGACTTCCTTGCACCACTAAAGCGATTAGTTGCTCCATTCAGTCAATCACCACTGTACAACAGAAGAAGTAACTGACTTGACCAAGCTATGTACCAACGCTTCTCTAGTATGCTCTTTGGAATGATTGATCATGCTGAAAATGACAGCCAGGAACCTGAGCTTTGTGAGAAGGAGGATGACGAATGGATTCTGGTCAATTATATAGGTGAGAAAATTAGATACAGAACACAAATTAACATGAATTATATGATAAATAATAAATTTTATATTTGTTGCTTCAGTATTAGCCTGATTACTTTGTATTCAATAAGGCACTATAACTGATATAGATAGGATTACTTTTTTTATTATGAATCATCATACAATGACCGATATTTTTGGAGATGTTTGAACCTCCATTTTCATGCCAGTTTTGAGAGTTTAATCACATTAAAGCCGTCTTTTGTACAACCAGGATTTTTTTGTCCACAAATTGATATTTAAATTTTCAATTGCTCTAAGTGCCACAATGGTAGCATGTACCATCATGAATTATATAATTTGATTGCCAACCTGTGCTGAGTTAACTATCCTTAATCAAGTAATGCCTAACTGTTTTCTCTGGACTGAGGAAGAAATCTTCTGTAATCCCTGTTAGAAGTAAAAAAAAGGACAAAGAGCAATGTCAAGGTCAGGCTTAGCAGTAGTGGTTAGTTCTATACTGCATTAGCTACATGGCCAAGGTACTAGAGTTCTTGTATTAGAATACAGTTCCCCAGGTACAAGTCCCAAGTTTCTAAAGACAGTGTAAAATTGACTTAGTTAGAGTCACAACAAATACTACAAGTGAGACTATTAAACAAAACTTGAAATAAGAAATAAAATCTCTTGAAGTGCCTCAAAACAAGTAGATTATATGACTACAGTTATATCAATCAAATGATCTCTCAACGCTGTTTCCTTTCATATCGCTCTACCCATACCTATTGAAGATTTATAACTTAATTTCCAGTAAATGGGAAGTGTATTCCAATGAGTTTTCCATTATGTTAAATATTTTAAGGATTGTTTGTATTTTTTTGTGTTTACTTGTTTACAATTGGAACTTGGAGGCAGCTTAGAAAGAGACATTTTATTGCTTCTATTGAAATGATATTCTAGTCTTGAGAATCTGTAGATGGTCAGCCAGGCTCTGCCCATAAATTTGGCAGGAGACAAGCAGAACCCATTTTAAGAAAACAACAGGAAGCCAACTGCACAAGTTTATTTCATTTCCGATACCTTTCAATCTGTCTTGTGATGGGAGAGCCTTTTTCATTGGTTTGCAAGGGTCAAGTATAATCAGTTTACAGAGTCGGGGGAGTCTCACCACACTGCAAGCTTTCACTTCCTCATTTTGTTTAGAATTCATTGCAAAACTGGATGCTGATGAGCTTAGTGAGAGGAGGCATCCAAATTATTCCAGATAAGTGTAAATGGGTCCAACGCTTTCCTTCACGCAACCTCCTAAAAATTGTCTTTTTAAATGTTTTGATTATGGGGGTGGGGTGGAGAGGTGGGGGGAGTGGGTAGTCCTGTCAGATGGGAGGCATGTAGAGAATTTCGACACCTATCATGTGTTGATTTCCACATATGATATAGCTGTCTCACAGACTAGTTAAGCAATAGCCTGACATAGTCATTCTCACAGAATCCTACCTTAGAGACAATGTCCCAGACACCACCATCACCATCCCTGGATATGTCCTGTCCCATCAGCAGGACAGACCCAGCAGAGATGGTGGCGCAGGGGTATATAGCTGGGAAGGAGTTGCCCTGAGAGTTCTCAGCATTGACTCCTGACCCCATGCAGTCTCATGGCTTCAGGTTAAACATGCTGATCACCATGTACCGTCCTCCCACAGCTGATGAATCATTACTCTTCCATGTTGAACAACACTTAGAGGAAGGAAGCACTGAGGATGGCAATTTCAATGTCCACCACCAAGAGTGGCTCGGCAGCAGTACTACAGACTCAGGCTGGTCAGCTCCTAAAGGACATAGCCGCTAGACTGGGTCTGCGGCAGGTGGTGAGGGAATCAACTAGAGAGAAAAATATACTTGACCTCATCCTTACCAATCTGCCAGCTGCAGTTGCATCTGCCCGTGACAGAATCGGTAAGAGTGAACATCGCACAGTCCTGTTGGAGAAAAGTCCCACCTTCACATTGAGAATAACCTCCATCGTGTTATATGGCACTATCACTTTGCACAGATCTAGCAACTAAAGACTGAGTATCCATGAGGCACTGGGCCATCAACAGCAACAGAATTATACTCTAGCACAATCTGTAACCTCATGGCCCAGCATATCCCCCATTCAACCATTACTACAAGCTGGGCAATCAACCTTGGTACGATGGAGAGTGCAGGAAGGCATGCCAGGAGTAGTACCAGGCATACCTGGGGATGGGGTGTCAACCTGGTGAAGCCACCAAACAAGACAACTTGCACGCCAAACAGCATAAGCAGCAAGTGATAGACAGAGCTAAGTGATCCCACAACCAACAGATCAGATCTAACCTCTGTTGTCCTGCCACATCCAGTTGTGAATTGAGGTGGACAATTAAACAACTCACTGGAGGAGGAGGCTCCACAAATATCCCCATCCTCAATGATGGAAGAGCCCAGCACATCAGTGCAAAATATAAGGCTGAAGCTTTCACAGCAACCTTAAGCCAGAAGTTCCAAGTGGATGATCCATCTCGACTTCATCCAATAGCCCCCAGCATTACAGTCTTCAGCCAATTCGATTCACTCCATGTGATATCAAGAAATAGTTGGAGACACCAATACTACAAAGGCTATGGGCCCTGACAACATTCTGGCAATAGTACTGAAGACTTGTGCTCCAGAACTTGCTGCCCCCCTCGCCAAGCTCTTCCAGTACAGTTACAACACTGGCATCTACCTGGCAATGTGGAAAATTGCTCAGGTAAAAAGCAGGACAAATCCAACCCGGCCAATTACTGCCCCATTAGTCTATTCTCAATCATCAGTAAAGTGATGGAAGGTGTCATCAACAGTACTATCAAGCAGCACCTGCTCAGAAACAACCTGCTCAGTGACGCCCAGTTTGGGTTCCGCCAGGGCCACTCAGCTCCTGACCTCATTACAGCCTTGGTTCAAACATGAATAAAAGAGCTGAATTTCAGATGTGAGGTGAGAGTGACAGCCCTTGACATTAAGGCTGCATTTGAACAAGTGTGGCCTCAAGGAGCCCTAGCAAAACTGGAATCAATGGGTATCAGGGAGCAAACTCTCCAGTGGTTGAATTCATAGCTGATGCATAGGAAGATGGTCGTGGATCTCAGCTCCAGCACATCTCTGCAGGAGACCCTCAGGGTGGTGTCCTAGGCCCAACCATCTTCAGCAGCTTCATCAATGACCTTCCGTCCATCAGAAGGTCAGAAGTGGGGACAATCGCCGATGAATGCACAATGTTCAGCACCATTCGTGACTCCTCAGATATTGAAGCAGTCCATGTTCATATGCAACAAAATTTGGACAACATCCAGGCTTGGGCTGACAATTGGTAAATAACATTTGCGCCACACAAATGCCAGGCTATGACCATCACAAAGAGGACACAATCTAACCACCACCCCTTGGCATTCAACAGTGTTACCATCACTGAATCCCCCACTATCAACATCTTTGGGGGTTATCATTGACCAGAAGCGCAACTGGACTCACCACATAAACAGAGTGACGACAAGTGCAGGCCAGAAGCTGGGAATACTGCGGCGAGTAACTCACCTCCTGACTCCTCAAAGCCTGTCCACCGTCTACAAGGCACAAGTCAGGAGTGTGATGGAATACTCCCCAAGTGCCTGGATGAGCACAGATCAAACAACACTCAAGAATCTTGACACCGTCCAGGACAAAGCAGCCCGTTTGATTGGCACTACATCCACACCCTTCACCACTGCTCAGTAGCAGTAGTTTGTACTATCTACAAGATGCACTGCGGAAATTCACCAAAGATCCTCACACAGCACCTTCCAACCCCAAGACCACTTCCATCTAGAAGGACAAGGGCAGCAGGTATATCAGAACACCACCACCTCCAAGTTCCCCTCCAAACCACTCTCCATCCTATCTTGGAAATATATCGCCGTTCATTCACTGTCGCTGGGTCAAAATCTTGGAATTCCCTCCCAAATGGCATTGTGGGTCAACCCACAGCAGGTGGACTTCAGTGGCTCAAGAAGACCGCTCACCACCGCCTTCTCAAGGACAAGTAGGGATGGGCAATAAATGCTGACCCAGTCAGCAATGTCTCAGAAATGAATTTTTAAAAATTACCAGAGTCGAACCCACAGTCGTGTTTTCACTGCGATGCATGTTTGGTATCTTTCTACAGCCTCTACCAATGTGTTGCGGGCACCACCAGCATAGCACTCAATGGATTTCAGGACTTTTCCTGAATGAATTGGAATGCTAACAAACAATAGCATAGGTTATACTTGTTGTTTAAGCAGGGCAATGTGACATCTCCTAAGAGACAGCACACAGCAAAAACTCTAGCCAAATTGCTTCTGACTAAATTGCTTCAGTTAGGGATTTCAGAGGGAGACAGTTGTGCAGTGCTACCGTGACTAGACTAGTAAACCAGACTTGCAGCCTAATGTTCTGGAGATCTGGGGTCTGTATCCCACCACGGCTAAAGGTGAAATCCGAATTCAATAAAAACTTAAAATCTAAAAATGTGCATCATCAAATATGTAACCATTGTCGATTGTAAATCCCTATCAGGTTCACTAATGTCATTCAGCGAAGGAAACCTGCCATCCTTTCCTGACTTGGCCTTTATGGGACTCCAGACCACAGCAATGTGGTTGACTCTTAACTGCCCCTTGAAATGGCCCTCAAAAGTCACTCCTGCTGGCCCAGACAGTAACATGCACTTGCCATGATCGAATTTAAAGAGAAACATTCAATATATGCAGCTATGTAGAAATATTGGTGTTTCTTTCCATAAATCTTATTATGGAATTGCCTTGATTTCTTTCATTCTTGTTTAAACAACTTTAATTGGCTATTCCAGAAATAGACCATAGCATAGATCTCTTATTAATCAAGAACACTTCTAGACTTTGTCACTCATGTTGGATAATTGAATGCATTTCTTTCAATGTGATGCCACTTCCAAAATCAAATGCTGTTTTTCTCTGTTTTTCTCTGCATTGTTTACATCTACAGAGCTGGGATGTTTGTTTAGGTTAGAGCACAGATTCAAGCATGACATCATCTTTTGAACTTCTATTTTTGTTTTTACAAAATTTGGGCCTTGAAGTAGATAAATTGAAACTATTCCCTCTGTTTAAGGGATCCAGAACAAAAAGGCATTATTTTAAAATTTGAGCTAGGCCAGTTAAGAATGAAATCAGGAAGCACATTTTCCATACAAACAGTGGTGCAAATCAGGAATTCCACCTGAATGCTGAGTCAACTTGAATGTTCAAGGCTGTAATCAAGAATGTCAAGAAATATGGAATGAAGGCAGGTAAATGCAGTTGAGGCACAGATCAGGTACAATCTGGTGGAAAGGTGAAACAGGCTAATGGGTTAAATGTCCTATTGAGATCTCTATGGACCACTGTACAGTTCTGTTGGGAGAGGCACTTCTGTAAAAACAAAACAATTTTGTATCTTACAATAGAGTATCAGAAGTAAATTCTCAGTCTCTATGCAGTAACTTTAATGAAATGTTTTTTTTAAAGGTGGAATCTTTTCGCATTAAGCAAACTGAAATAGCAATGTAGAGTTGAGAATGTAGCAACCAGATTTTTAAAAGTTTTAAAACTCATTCACAGTGGAATTTCTGCAGCTTTTTTTAAAATGCTAGGTGTTCTGTACATTTCCAAAACAACTTTTTCCCCAATGTATTTTTCATCAAGTAGCTACTGACTTGCAGATTTGAGATCCTGACTGTGTGCTACAGTTGTATCCAGCTGTATCTTATTTATATATCTTGGAACTAATTTGTACTGTATAACAATAATTTTGGAGAACAGCAGATATTAAAACAATATGTAAGCAACTAAAGCAACCAAGTGTTTTAAAAGAAAACTTCACTAAACTAGATTGCACCACTTGTGAAAGAAAACCAAGAATTTATTTCCAGGCGTACTATTAAATATAAATATGTTGCCAGGACTGATCCTTTTCCAGTATTACACATATTTTCCAGCAGTAGATGTTGGATGATAATCAGGATCGTGCGCTCTAGTCTGGAGATACTGAGGTCCAATGTAGCATTTCCATTTAACTACCAATTAAAATAATCTATCAACAGAAATGAGAAACTGAGCTTGAAGCCTTCAGTCTGCAGTGAAATTGTTTCTTGTCACAAAGATCAAGCAATCTCTATCGTGTGGATTTCACATTTCCTGACATTAATTTCATTCTGAAGGTAGCTGGAAAATAGTGTCTAGTAAAATTGAACTTGTCAAGCAGGTTAAACAAACAAAGATATTGAAGAATTTGTGCAGACAACAAAACAGGAAGTTACAAGCAATGTTTATCATTTGCCTTTTCAAATTTTTCAGAAAGTGAAGTAAAGGTTGAGACATACAAATGGGATTAAAGTAGAACCTGAAATAATATAATAATTATTTTAAAAGTCTGTTTTCATGGTTAGAGGCGTTGTTCAAAAATAAATTAATTAGTATTCTGTTTAAAAACCCAGTTATGTCTCCTTCAACAATGTGCATCAATTTTCAAGGGCTTTTAGCAGCAAGGGTAATAATGAAAAGAATAAAAAGATGCTCTTGTCAGTCATTTTTCGTTGATAATTGTCTGACAATCAGCTCAATAGTGGACCCAAGTGAGGGAGGAGGGATTCATTGGCATTGATTTCCAGATTTTTGTATTTTAATTGCAAATGTGTAGTCACCCCAAGTTGCTGTTGGTCTCCAAAAGTAATAATAGCAAACACTGACAGTTTTTGCTGTCATTGCAGTCCCAAAATCTAGGCCATCATTAATTTTAGTACTGAACTGTACTTTTGATTTGCCCACTTTCTTGTGGTCTCATTGTATCATGGCATTTATAACATTTTGGAATTTGAAGTATCAAATTTGATAAATTTCTACTTATCTTTCTCAATTTTAAAAGTCATTGCTAATACAATTTATGTAATAAATGTAAATTATTATTATGTAAAAGACACTAATGCTGCATAAAAAGTTTAATTTTAATGAATAAAATGTTCCATCCTTGAAGTTGTGTTGAAGGGATAGATTTAATGCTGTAAACATGTTGAAGGCATGTTGAAGGGAGATGTTTATTATGGTGTTTTGAAATCATGCATTGTTGATATGTATTCATTAGCTCATGTTCGTAATATTTGTTTTTAAAAGTGACACAACTTGGTGTTTGGAAAATCCTGTAGGTGCATAACTTAATGTAATTTTTTTGTTCTTTATTGTCAACACTTGTGTACAAATATATGTATTGATTATAATCTGCAGGATTGATTACAAAATAAAATTAATAAATGTGTTTCCTTTTCTCATCCTATCCCTGATACCTGCTTCATTTTTTAAACTTTAATGCTTTGCCACTTGCATGCCCTTTTTTTTCTGTCTCCTAATTCTAACACAACTTAACTGCTTGTTAGATGCTTGCACTGAATTGTCTAGAGAAGAATTGGATGGCATAGACAGAGAAGGCTCTCCAAAATCAGCTATTTTCTCTTCTTCAACCTCTTCTCTTGAGTTGCTCGGCAATTGCAGTGACCCTTGCTTTCTTCAGCTTGACTCCTGTACTTTGGAGGAGAGCTGGTTCATTACCCCTCCCCCCTGTTTCACTGCAGGTGGCCATGCCCCAGTGCAGGTGGAGACCAGTCCAATGGAAAATCTTCTTATTGAACACCCCAGCATGTCTGTATATACAGTGCACAATGTCCGAAGCAATATGAGAGAGAACAGCAGGTCTGTTGAATATGAGAAAGAAACTATCAGGTAGGTTTGTAGAAATGGTGATTTTGAAACTTGTGAAATACAAATTGGGAGTTACATGAGAAAGAGAACTTCTGATCCTATTTTATTTTTAAAAATTCACATAATGTATATTCTTTAAATTACAAAACATGGAAACTTTATTTTGATCTAGCACAAATTCTAGACATAAGAATATCTAAGACACAACATATTGAGTGATGAACTTAATGAATACTAGAACTGAAATAGTCTGTTGTAGTCCCAATATTTATTACAAAAATAGAAAATGGCAATCTCAAAACTGCATTATGGATTGATATTTCAATTTTCAAGAATGCTCATCTTGTCCCATGAACAGTTCAGGAATAAAAATGATAAAGTTGCACAAAAGCGAGCTTTGATTGTGCAATTATATTTTTTTTAGAACTTGAAAACCTGTCATCAATCGAACAAATACGTAAGACTCCTTTGATCAACATTATTTGAACTTTAATATTAATGCCAAATGTAGCTGAGTGAAGAGATATGATTTCATTTTCTGACCAACATCAAGTTGATTACATTTGCCAGGGATAGGTAACATTGGTTACGTTACAGGACCAGTAATCCAGAGACCTATCTGGACATATGAACAAGGCAGAAGAGTAGACCACTCTGCCCATTGAGCCTGTTCTGTTACTCAATACAATCATGGCCGATCTTATTTTAATCTCAACTCTACATTGGTGCAGTGGCCCTGATGATAATTTTTCACCCCTTGACAACCAAGAATCTATCCACCTCTGCCTTTAAACATTTAAAGACTACCACTGCATTTTCAGGAAACGAATGTCAAAGACTCTCAACTCTTTGAGAGAAAAAATGTTTCCTCATCTCTGTGTTTTAAATGGGTGCCTCCTTATTTTTAAACTATGATCTTTAGTTCTGGATTCTTACAAAGAGGCAACATCCACTTGGTCAAGTCCCCTCAGGATCTTAAATGTTTCAGTTAAGTCACTTTGATTCTAAACTCCAAAGGCCCAACCTGTCAAGCCTTTTGTCATAAGGCAATCCACTTGTTTCAGGTATTAGGCTAGTAAATCTTCTCTGAACTGCTTCGAATGCATTAACATCTTTCCATAAGTATGATGACCAATACTGTATACAGTGCGCTAGATGTCATCTCACCAATGCTCTGTAAGACTGAAGCATGAACTCAAATCCCACCATGGCAACTTGGGGGATTCAAATCCAATTAAATAAATGTGAAATAAAGAGCTAATATCAGTAGTGACCATGAAGTCATTGGATTATTTTAAAGATTCACAATTATCCTTTAGGGAAAGAAACCTTGCAATATGTGACGTCTGCAATGGCTTCGTAATCATCTCGAGTACAATTAAGGATAGACAATTAATGCTTACTATAGAAGGTAGGTTTGCTCAGTTGGCTGTGCAGCCAATTTGCGATGCAGGGTGAGACTAATAGCATGGGTTCAGTTCCTGCACTGGCAGAGGTTACCATGTATGTCCCAACTTCTCAATCTCTCCCCTCACCCACCATGACCCCCAGTTGAAACCACCACCAGTTGCTCCTCTCGCTAATGGGAGAGCAGCCCATGATCTGGTGAGACTATGGCTGCTTTACCTTGCCAAGAAAGCCCATGTCCTATAAATGAATAAAGAAAGTTTGCTTGTGTTGCTACTTGAAACAATGCATTTGCAGTAATGTTAGTGATCTGGTTTTAAATTTAGTGGTATTTTAATGTAGGAACCTGCCTGCTAAGAATATGTAATTGAATCTTTTTGTTTTTTCATTGCTAAAATGAAAATCTTAAACTTACAACACTGCTGTTAGAAAGTTTTGAAGAGTAAGGAACTCTTAAAAGGGGGTCCTGATCAGATTGAATATATTTGAAGAATGGTAAAACTGGCTACTTGACAACTTAAGACAAAAATAATATTTAAAACTTTTAACTTTTCAGTTCTCATGAAATACAAAAGAAATGTTTAACTTGCTGCAAGCAATTTGCAGGTAGCGCTGACTGCTGCATAATGTCAGAACAAAGCGTTTCTTGGTAGACAACTTGCCAAAAAAAAAATTTGGTTTGATTTTGATTTTTAATTTTAATTTTACAATGCGCGCATTCAACCTAAACAATAGTTTCTTTTAAGTTGTTTAAAATTTCGAAAAAAATAGCTTTCTCAAAGGGAGAATTGGATCCATATGGTTCAGCTATTCTTTCATTACTTTTTCCTAAGTGTAGCACTACTATGATATTTTTGCAGCTGTTTTTTATTCCTCTACAGTGTGAGCTGCACTTGCATAATCTCTTCAAACTGAGCTATAAAATAGTTATTTTCAGAACGTAAGTTATTTTCCACCAAAAGCCGATTGAATTGCTGCTGTTTTTGAGAGTCTATAGAGTCCTGAATTGGAACAAGTACATATAATCATAGGAACAGTATATTTATTTGATACACTTAAAACGATGGCATATTAACTCCTCCAAAACCATGTGCGATGTTTATGCAATAAAAGGAAGTTGCCCTATATTCAGCAGATAGTAATTAACAAATATATAGAAAAACAATTTGGCAGGGTCTAGAGGAATTGGTGAGAGAAAGACAGTGAGTCAGAAAGAGAGAAACCGAAACAAAAACAGAAATTGCTGGAAAAGCTCAGCAGGTCTGGCAGCATCTGTGGAGAGAAATCAGAGTTAATGTTTCAGGTTCAATGTTCCTTCCTCAGAATTGATAATAGCTAGTAAAAGGTTGGTTTTTAGGGAGGAGAGGGTGTAAGGAGTGAACAATGGGTGGAGATAGAGCCCAAAGAGAGAGAAGAACAGTTGGACAGACAAGAGTGGATAATGGTCAGCCTGGGAGAATGAATAGTTATTAGTGGCTAATGATGGTGTGTAATAGCAGACTATGTGTTAACAAGGCCTGGTGTGTGGAAATTGGGGTATTATAGACCAGTAAGCCTTTGGTAAGTAAGTTACTTGAGAAAATTCTGAGAGATAAGTTATACATGCATTTGGAAAGACAGCGTCTGATTAGGAGGAGTAAGCATGGTTTTGTGCATGGGAGATCAAAACTCAAATTTGTTAGAATTCTTTGAAGTGACCAAGATGGTGGCTGAGGGCAGGGCAGTAGATGTAGTCCATATGGATTTTAGTAAGGTCTTTGATAAGGTTCCACACGGTAGGCTGCACTGGAAGGTTAGATCGCATGGAATCCAGGGACAGCTGGCAAATTGGATATACAATTGGCTTGATGGTAGGGAACAGAGAGTAATAGTGGAAGGATGCTTGTTGGACTGGAGGCCTGTGACTAGTGGTGTGTCTCAGGGATCAGTGCTGGGCCCATTGCTGTTTGTTATGTGTATCAATGATTTGGATGAGAAGGTACAAGGCATGATTAGTAAGTTTGTGGATGGCATTAAAATAGGTGGTGCTGTGGACAGCGAGGAAGATTATTGGAAATTGCAGTAGAATCTTGATCAGCTGGGGAAGCGGGCTGATAAATGATAAATGGAGTTTAATATAGATAAGTGTGAGGTGTTGCATTTTGGAAAGTCAAATCAAGGTAGGAGTTTCAAGATGAATGGTAGGGCCTTAAGGAGTGTAGTGGAACAGAGGGACCTTGGAGTTCAGGTGCACGGTTCTCTGAAAGTGGAGTCACAGGTAGACAAGGCAGTGAAGAAGGCTTTTGGCACACTGGCCTTCATCGGTCAGGGTATTGAGTGAAGAAGTTGGGAAGTTATATTACTGTTGTAGAGGGCATTGGTGAGGCCGCATTTGGAGTATTGTGTTCAGTTTTGGTTATCTTGCTATAGGCAGCATATTATTAAACTGGAAAGAGTGCAGAAGAAATTTACAAGGCTGTTGCCAGGACTCCAGGGACTGAGTTATAGGGAGAGGTTGGACAAGCTAGGACCTTTTCCTTTACAGCGTAGGAGACTGAGGGGGGAAATCTTATAGAAGTGTATAAGATCATGAAAGGAATGGATAGGTTGAATGCACTCAATCTTTTTTCCAGGGTTGGGGAATTGAGGACTAGAAGGCATCAGTTTTAGTAAGTGGGGGAAGAATACCTGGGAACCTGAAGGGCAACTTTTTTATGCAGAGGGTAGCAGCAAATGGAATGCGCTTCCAGTGGAAGTTGTTGAGGCGGGTACATTAACAACACTTAAAAGGCATCATGGATAGGAAGGGTTTAGAAGGATATGGGCCAATCGCAGGGAAAAGGGGTTAGCGTGGATGGACATTTTGGTCGGGATGGACCAGTTTGGGCTGAAGGGCCTGTCTCTGTGCTGTAGGACTCTATGCAGGTAAAGTGCTGCATCACCTGGAAGGTATGTTTGGGCCCTTGGATACTGAAGAGGGAGAAAGTAAATGGGCAGGTGTTACACCTTCTGCAGTTGTAGGGGAAGGTGCCGTGGGCTTTGGGGTTTGTTGGGAGTGAAGGAGTAGTGGACCAGGATGTCCCAGAGGGAACAGTCCTTGCAGAAAGCTGACAGGGGAGGGGACAGGAACAAGTGTGAGGTGGTGGAAATGGCAACTAATGGCCTCTGGATAAGGATGCTGGTGGGATGGCAAGTGAGTTCCAGGGGGACTGTATCACTGTTGTGGGAGGGAAGGGAGGGGGTGACGGCTGAAATGCGGGAGATGGCTTGGACCCAGCTGAGGGCCCTGCCAACTACGGTGCTGGGGAATCCTTGGTTGAGGAAGAAGATGGAAATTTTACAGGCTCCCTTGTCAAAGTTGGCATCATCAGAACTTCGTGAATGGAATAGAGAGTTTACAGGAGTAGGGTGTGAGGATGTATAGTCGAGGTAACAGTGGGATTGTTTGGTTTGCAGTGGATATCGGTGGGGGGCCTGTCCCCAGAAATGGAAACAGATGTCGAGGAAGGGAGACAGGGAGAGACAGAGCTAGGTTCATTGGAACTGACTGGTGAATAATTTTATTTTCTGTTTTCTCATCTCCACTGTAATATAAAATAGTCTGAAAGCATGCTTAAGGCATGGCAAGATAGCTTGGCTATGTGGAGTGCCCATCCTGTACCAGGTGAGGAATTAAAGACACTTTGTGGCCTAGACCATCATGTGCAGGAAGTGTTTCCGGCTGCGAAAACTTGAGCTCTGGGCTTTGGAACTTGAACTTTGGCTGGAGTCATTGAGGTGCATCCATGAAGCTGAGAACTTTGTGGATAGCACATTTAACAAAATGGCTACACTGCAGATCAAATCCAGGCAAGCAGAGAGAAAATTTGTAACTGGTCACTAGGCAGTCTAATGAGATGAAGCAATTACAGCAGGAGTCCACTGAGTTTACCTTGCTGACCTTTTTTTTTTCCATTTTGGATACTGGTGAGGGTGATGGTCAGAAGAATGTAACGAGCGAAGCTTGTGACGCTGCAAGGGAGTTCGGTTCCTTAGGGAGGTCAGGAGAGTGGAAGGATAATAATAGGTGATTTAGAAACCTGAAGAAATAGACACCTGTTTCTGTAGCTCTGGGTGTCACTCCCGGCCAGTATTTTGCTTCCCTGGTGTCAGGGTTGAGGATGTCAAAAACTGGATGCAGAAGATTCATTTGGAAGAGAATGAACACTTAGAGGTCGTAATAGACATTGACAACAAGGAAATAAGTAGAAAGGGGAATAAAGTCTTGAAAGTAGAATTTGGGGAGCTAGGCAAAAATTCAAAAGCAGAATCTTGAAAGAAATAATTTCAAGTTGCTCGCATTACCACGTGCTGGTAAGTGTAAAATTAGGAAGATTGACCAAATGAACTTGTGCTAGTAAAATGGCAACAGGAGGGAGGGCTTTAAACATTCTAGGGCAGGTAGAACCAATGCAAGGACAGGTTACATCTTGACAGGACAGGGACTAATGTCCTCATGAGGCAATTTGCTAGTGTTGTTGGGAGGGTTAGTCTAACTTGTCAAGGGGATGGGAATCCAAAAGGGAATTCAGATACAATGAAAACAAAGTTGGTATGGAATGTAGAAGAACTGTGAATGAAAGTGGAAAATAGCAGAAACAAAATCTCGAATCAACCAGGGTCAATTTACAGAACAATGTTAAAGGAGAAGTAAAAGTGCTATCTGTGTACAAGCGCAGTCGCAGCAAAGTAGGTGAATTGACAGTGCTAGTAGAATTAAAATTGACTTGCCAATACAGAGACATGGCTACAGGATAACCAAGGCTGGGAACTAAATATCAAAGAAAAATCAACATTTGGGAGGGTTAGACAAAATGTAAAAAGAGGTGGGGGGGACTGCTGATAACAAGGGCAGTTTATCCTTGTCAGGATCTCAAATCGAAACAATAGGAAATAGAATTTGGTTGGAGCAGCAGCAGACATTGGTAGGAGTCATTATAGGTCATTAAATATTTAAATAGTCTAAAAGTAGACAGAGTAAATCTCGTGAGTACCCATGCTGTGGAGGAAGAATTCCTGGATTGTGTTTGAGAAAACCTGAGTCCTTGTTGCTTCCGCAACACACTGATTCAGAAAATAATTTTAGAAGTAGTAGTATTCTGTAATCTGGAAGGGCTAATTGATAATCTGGTTGTAAAAGAATGTTGAGGGAATAGTGGCCATGATATGATAGAATTTTCCATTTATGTTTGAACAGAAATGTTGTTTGATCTGAAACTAGGTTCTTGAGCTAAACAGTAAAAATTTGTATGGAAGAGGAGGAAGTTAGCTGTGGCTAATTGGAAAATATATTAAGCATTTTGATGGTAAATAGTTAATGGTCAGTACCTTGTGAAATAATTCTTGGTTTTCACAAAACATTTTCCTTCAAATAACAAGAAAAGTGAGTGTGCCCTGACTAATGAGGGAAGCTAAAGATAAGCCTTAAATCAAAAGAAGAAGCATGTAATGTTGCCAAAAAAGTTGTAAGCCTGAAGGTTGGGAGAATTTTAGAATTCAGCAAAGGAGAACCAAGAAATTGATGAACAAAGAGGAATTCAATAAGAATGTAAAATAACAAAACATAAATGGATTGAGAAAGCTTCAATAGGTTTTTTTATTCACTTATGGAATGTTGCCATCTCTGGCTGGGTCAGCATTTATTGCCTGTCCCTAGTTGTCTTTGAGAAGGTGATGGTGAGCTGCCATCTTGAAGTGCTGCAGTCTACATGTTGTAAATAGACCCACAATGCAGTTAGGGAGGAAGTTCAAGGATTTTGACCCAGTGACTCTGAAGGATATATTTCACATTGGTACATTGTGTAGCTTGGAGGGGACCTTTTAGGGAGTGGTGTTCCTATGTATTGGCTGCCCTTGCCTTTCAGTTGTTAACACTCATGGGTTTGGAAGATGCCATCTAAGGAATTTTGGTGATTTTCTGCAATGCATCTTGTAAATGGTAGATACTATTGCTATTGAGCTGCAGTGTTGAAAGGAGATAATGTTTGTCTGTAGATGTGATGCCCATTAAAATAGGCATGTAAAATGGAAAAGGTTCGCAAATGTGTGTCCATTACAGGCAGAAACAGAAAAATTTATATGAGAAAATAGAGAGATAAGCTAATTAAGTACTTTGAGACTGTCTTCACAGGGGAAGACACAAAACGTATCCCTGAGATAAGTAATATTCTAGGGTCTAGTAAGGGTGTGTAATTAAAAGAAATTAGAATTATTTTTAAAAAACATGATGTAGCGGAAGAATTAATGGGACTTACAGTTATGAATCCTTGGGATCCAATAGAGTGTTGAAAATTCACCCTAGAGTGTTTAAAAAGATGGCAGTAGAAATGGTGGATGCATTGCTGATCATCTTTCAAAATTCTATTAATTCTGCAGTTGTGCCTGTAGGTTGCAAATGTAATTCCACTGTTTGTGAGAGAAAGCATTGAACCTCTAATAGTGTGGAAATACTAGAATTTGCTTCTAAATATAAATACTCGAATCTATTATAAAAGATGTGACCAGTGGATATTTAGAAAATAACTGTCTGATTTGACAGAGATAATACCTTCTAGAACCAGTGCAATCCACTTGTTGTATGTATACCCACAATGCTGTTAGAGGGCGCTCCCAGATTTTAAACCAATTACCCTGAAGAATGGTGATATATTTCCAAGTTTGAATTGGGCATGGTGTGGAGGGGATCTTGCACGTAGAGGTGTTTCTTTGCACCTGCTACCCTTGTCTTTCGAGATGGAAGTGGTCATGGATTGGAAGGTGCTATCTAGGGAGCACTACCATGCATCTTGTAGATAGTACATGTTGCTGCTACTGAGTGTTGATGGTGGAGTGACTGAAGATGCACAACAATCCTGTAAGATGCCAAGCTTCTGGAGTGTTGATGGAGCTGTACTTATCTAGGACAGTGGGACATTCATTCCTTACTATTGGCACTTTGCTCTGTCTTCCCTTGCTTGTTCCATTGGTCCCTTGCCTATGTCTTAATAATCATCCTTTCCGCTATCCGTCTCACAGCAAGATGTGATCATCCTGGACCTGCATACTGCTTCCCTGCCTCAGATATCTGAGAAGCCCCAACATATAGTAATAGGTTCTGCAAGAGGGTTTTACATAGACCTATGTGAATTGCAGGAAGCGAACTCTTAAGACATGTCAGGCAGTTAGCTCAGGGTCTCGAAGGGAAGCAGGACTGAAGAGGTTTGTCAAGAAGACACTGGATGGTCACAGTTGAAGGTGAAATAGACAGTACTTTCATCATTTGTTTGAATAGACTGGTATTCTCTATTTTGAAACTATTTGAGCACTTTTATTTCTTTAATATCACTTCCGCAATTAAACTGCAGCTGCAAAACACTGTCATTTTCCAAAACTAAATATGTAACTAAATAACTGTTAAATAAATCTATTTAAATCTACTTGGTAAACTCATCAAATAAATAGAGAGATAGCAAAAACTGCAGATACTGGAGTCAGAGTCAGTATTGTGGAGCTGGTCAGGCAGCATCAGAGCAGCAGGAAAGTCAACATTTCAGGTTTGCATCCTCATCACACGGCCCTGAAACATCGATTTTCCTGCTCCTGATGCTGCCTGACTTGCTGTGTTACTCCAGCTCCACACTGTTTTGATTTGTCAACTGAATAAACTTTACCAGTAAATTTTAATCAACCTAACATTGAAGGACTTGTCCTCTTCCTGAGATCTCCAGTGTCACAGATGCCAGTCTTTAACCAATTCATTTCGCTCCACATGATATCAAGAAATGGTAAGGCACTGGATACTGCAAAGGCTATTGGCCTGGACAACATTCCAGAAATAGTACTGAAGACTCCAGAACCTGCTCTGCCCCTACTCAAGCTGTTCAACAGTGGCATCTACCTGACAATGTGGAAAATTATCAAGGTATGTCCTCTTCACAAGCAGGGTAGTAATTGGCTAAGCTGCTTTTGTCTAGTCAGTTTCCCCTCAATCAGCAGTGACGGAAGAAATTATCGGCAGTGGTATCACACAACACTTGCAAAGGAATGACATGTTCACTAATACTTAGTTTGGCTTCCACCAAGAACATTCTGCTCATAACTTCAGTTTTGGTCCAAACACGAGTTGAATTCCAGAGGTGAGGTGAGAAAGATTGCCTTTGACATTGAGATGGCATTCGACAGGGTATGGCGTCAAGGCTGTGAAGTTAAACTAGTGTCAATGGGACTCAGCAAAAACTGTTTGCAGATTGGTGTCATACTTAGCACAAAGGAAGATAGTTGTAGTTGTTGAAACTCAATTCTCTCACTCCAAAGACATCATGTAAAAGTTCGTAAGGAATATCTTCAGCTGCTTCATCATTTATCTTCCTCTGTAAGGTTAGAATTTGGGTGTTTGCTGTTGATTACACAAGGTTCAGCACCATTTGTGATAACTCCGATACTAAAGCAGTCGATGTCCCTAAGCAACCAGTCATGGACAAAATCTAGGCTTGGATTGAGATAGGGCTAGTAACATTGCCTGGCACTTGAGTTGCCTGAATGACTATCTCCAGCAGGAGAGAATCTAATGTGCCTTGATTGAATGGCATAACCTTTACTGAATCCCCCACTATCAGCAACTTGGAGGCTACCAATCATAAACTTTAAATTATATACAAAGCCATATAAATACAATGGCTACAAGAACAAGTCAGAGGTTTGAAAATCTGCAGCAAATAATTCCCTTTTTGTTTTCCTCCATGCTTATCTGCCATCTACAGAAGAAATCAAGAATGTGAATGAATACTTGCCTGGATATGTGCAGCTGCAACAACTTGCAAAGTTTGATACCATCCAGGACAAAGTAACTCACATGATTTGTACAGTATCCACCACCTTCAACATTCACTGCCTGCTCCCATCAGTGCACAGTGGCAGCAGTATGTACAATGTACAGATGCATTGAAGTAACTCACCAAAGCTCCCTCATCAACACTTCATAAATGCATGACTCCTACCACCTGGAAGGACAAGGGCAGCAGATAGATGGGAACAACATCATCTGCAAATTCCCCTTCAAGCCACTCACCATCCTGACTTGGAACTATGTTGCTGGGTCAAAATCCTGGACCTCCCTCCTTAATAGTATTGTGCATGTCCCCCAACACTCTAAGGACTGCAATGGTTCAAGAAGGCAGCTCAGCGCCACTTTTTTTCTGGGGCAATTAAAGAAAGCCAATTTATGCCAAGCCAAACACAAAATGGAAAATGATGAAAATACACATCTTCAATCAGCAAGATTTCTGACAAGTTGAGAAAAAGGTACTTGTGCACGAAAGATACACCAGAATAATAAAGCAATATTCTGGCATTGGTTAATAATTCTTAAAAAATCAATGTAATGGATTTTCCTCATAAATTGACCCTCAATTTCTGACTCTTGATGAGATATAATCATAGGATAGGTCTATACTACTCTTCATATAAATATGGGCATTGTTGGGTCCATTACTAGTGTCAGATTATTTGACTTTTGGAAAGTATCAGATGACCCTTTCCAACATAAGGCACTGGGTAGATATCAGAAGAGGAACATGATGGGACCTACGTTTCTTTTTTTAACTTGTTAATGGGATGTGGGCATCGCTGGTCTATTGCCCATCGCTTTTATTGCCCATCTGTAATTGCTCAGAGGGAAATTGAATCAATCTCATTGCTATGGGTCTGGAGTCTTATAAAGGCTGGGTCAGGTGAAGTGGCAGATTCACTTCCCTGAAGGACATTAGTGAATCAGATGGGATTTTAACATTAGTGATTGTATGGTCGCCATAAATCTAGCTTTTTATTCCAGATTTTTATTAAATTCAAATTTCCCTATCCCTCATGATTAGATTCAAACTCATGCCCTCAGAAGATTAGCCTGAGGTTTTGGGTTATTGGTCTGGTAAAACTGCCTCTTTCCACATCAGGAACCGAGAATAAGAACAACACATTCTACTGTCTCAGCTGCTTTGTGTCCATTTGCCCCATCCACTCTACCTTTGAATCCTCATCCTTAGCTGTTTGTCACCATCTCTAAGCTCTTATGGTCCAACCTTTTCTAAAAATAATTTATTCCATCAAGTAGCCCTATCATCAAGTGAAACATCCCTATGGAACAAGTTATCTTTCAGGACGTCCAGAATGGTTGTGACCAGAGAACGTTAGTGAAGTATATTGAAGCAGGCTTCTCATGCTACCTCAAACCTGTGACAGTCTTTGACCTGACAATGATGTATGGCACATTGTGGAAACATGAACAGCTTTTCAAACTCTCCACCAGTTTACTTTTTAGAATAATAAACCATATTCATATTTGCACACCGCTTGCATGTATGTAGTGGCAACCAAAAGATCAGATATAGGACACTGAACAATAGGCATGTATGGAATGAACTGCCGGAGGAAGTGGTGGAGGCGGGTACAATTACAATATTTAAAAGATATCTGGGTGGGTACATGAATAGGATGGGTTTAAAGGGATATGGGCCAAATGCTGGAAAACTGGACCGTATTAATTTGGGATATCTGGTCTGTATAGACAAATTTGACTGAAGAGTTTGTTTCTGTGCTGTACAACTCGATGACTCTATGACTTCCACGCTTCAGATCTATTGATAACCCACTAATCTCTACGGTAATAAAGTTATCACGGAGATGCTTTCATCCATGCTAACATTGTCTCTGTTTGAAAACATTACTTCACCATACACATGATCTTATTTAGAGTTTTACACAAATACTGATGTAGTGAAAAAAGTTGTTATAGAAGTTGATTAGTGTTATTGAGAAATAACATTAGACTAACTAGATTACATGATGCAACCTTACTTCCTGTGATGATGTAACATTTAAACATGTTTATATAAACATATACTTATTGTATCCAGAATACTATCACAACAGATTGATTAATATGCAGTCTCCAGAGACTATGATTTCTACATCAGCAAAGACGTGCTGAGCAATCCTGATCAACCTAACACCAGCCCAGCTCAAATCAAAAAGGCTGTTTGGACTATCACTGAATCTCTTCAGTTATTTCCCGTCAGCCTTGATGACAAATGGTGTAAGACTGGAAGAAAATATCAAATGAATTCCTTTTTATTGAAGAGTCCAAAGTAGGATCAAAATTCCTTTGCAAGCAGTGGGCAGCCATTAACCAGTTCAGAACCAGTCATGGTAAATGTCACCATCTTCCCTGTAGAGAGAAGATTAAAGCATCCCCATCACAAGACTGCAGAACTCCTCATCAGACCTGGAACACTTCTAAGAACATTAACATTACAGAGAGTTTGCAGGCAGCCTACAAGATATCCACACTGAAATAAAATCCTCCAGCTCCATACTGTGCTGTCTCAGACTCCAGCATCTGCAGCTCTTGCTATCTCAGAATCTGATGAAGAGTTAGATGTTAACTCTGTTTTCTCCACACAGATATTGCCAGACCTAATGAGTTTCTGTTTTTGTTTAAGATGTCCACACCATTGTATTAAAAAGCTTTTGACCTGAATATCTGACTAAAATATTGCTGTTAGATTTGATTTTTGTTGCTACGTTACAAAATACGATGACCTATCAGAATGCTGGTACTAATTGCGCTGTCTCTTCCATAGCTCCAAAGGATCTTTTTGGTGGTCTGCTCTTTCTGAACGATATTCTGTTACTCATTCATATCATCTTAATTTTGCGCTGTTAGATTGGCTGTCAAAGATCAGCTCATGGATGAGTCACAACTTCCTGCCATTTGATATCAAGGTCAAATCCGTCACTTTTAGCTTTTTTGGCAAATTCCGCTCTCCTGCCTCTGACTCTATCCCCCTTTCTAACTGGTTTTACAAGTTAAGCCAGAGCCAGTTTGCACTTTTGATGTCCTGTACAATCCTGAGCTGAGCAGTAAGTCACACATCCAATATCTCACAACCAATTCATTACCAAGTGCTCCTACTTTGCAGCATCATCCACCTCCTCCAATACCTCAGTCTTTCAGACCCTAAATTTAAGTACACTTTGTAACCTTCAAACTTGGCATGGGCAGTGTTTTCCTTGCTATCCTCCTATTGCTGCCTTCTATAAGCACCAATTTGTCCAAACTTTTTAAAACTTGTATCCTGTACCATGCTATGGGCAGAATTATTAACGAGACCTGCAGACTGGCACACTGAATTGCTGGTGTGTGCAGATGGGCTGGGCACTTAAACTGTGATCAAAAGGGTGAGAGTTACTAGTGCAATAAACATTTCCATTGCTTTGGAGGTAAGGGGACAGGTAATCTGGTGAGGGGCAGTTGTTGAAAACAGTGTCCTGGTGCTTATGGTAGCAAGGGAACCTCCTCATTTGTTTTAGCCGTTGGCAATAAACTCGGGGATGCCTAAGGCATTAGTAAGTTTCAGTAGCACAATAAATACTGCACTTATCAAATACACTAGGGAAAACAGTTTAAAATGATGCTTGCAATAGTCTGGATTATATTTATGTAAAGTTTAAAGTCAAATGCCTATTGAGTTATCTTGATAGTTTGGACAAATACAAGTTGTATAAATGATGTTCTATTCTCATTCTAGAACTGAAACCCCTAGCAGGGTAGGCCACCATATTCGCTGCTATGCAGCTACTCTGGCCACCCACAGCAGTTTCGTAGAACAAGCCAATCAGGTTCGTCATGTTCAACGTGGTAAAGAACATGGTGCAAAACACCTCATTAACCGCAACAACATTCGCCGCCAAAACCTTATTAGAGAGTGCAACTCTCGACAAGCTAAGCACAATGGACACATTCTACACCAACCTTGCCAGCGCCAGTATAATTACTAATTGTCATTGCAGTTTCAATTTTTAAAACAATGTTTTTTGTTGTAAATACTGTATGTACATGTAACTTTTTTATAGGATTTCGTATTTAACAAAATTAGGAATCATTAATCACTTGGAGTATTTTAGGGTTTCTATTCTACTTTCTGGGTGCTTTAAAATCAGTATCACCAAATGCCTTGCTCTGAATGATAGGATTTTACTCTTAAAACCTATAAATCTCCTTGCAATCTTCTTCTTATATAGGGTTCGTTTGTTTGTTAAGAATTCCATCTCCAAATGAAGATCCATTTTGTCTGTGCAAAGTATTTGTATTTGTGTGTGTACATGTGCAAGGTATTGCTATATTATTAAACATGAATGCTGTCAACATAATCAATAACAAATGTTGCCTGGGAGATGGAGTGATTCTTTCAGATGTGATTTGTTATGTGAAGTGAAATTTATCTTATTTCACAACACAGATTCTCAGGGACAGTACATTCTATATTTTTTTCTAAATATCTACATGACAGCAAGGAAGTCTTATGTAAATGCATACTTCATTTTTTTTAGAAACAGACATTTTACGGATTGATGGCATTAACATTGCTCCACGGTATTTATAAATAATCAAAGATTTTGGGGCTACATACATGACTTCCCTCTTGGTGGCAGTTTGAATATATCTAAAAATGTTATACTTCTAGGTTATCCATGTTTTCCCCCTAATAAATTTACTGTAGCTTTGACATGTTTTGATGATGAATGATACCTTAGTGCTCTGTATTTAAATGAAGGACTTTCCCCTAACTATATTCTGGTTTTCATATTTTACAGAATAATGGACCTGCCTTGGTTATAAATTCTTTCCATTTAATTATATATTTCTGTCCCATTTCCTAAAGGCTTTCCTGCGTTTTGTTTTGGAGAAATGTGATGTTTTGAGTAAGTGGGGTTCTGGTAGCTGCAGAGGCATCATTTTCCCAATCTGGATCTTTTCCTCAAGTTCATTTTTAATACTGCAGAGCATATCAAATAATAAACAAATGTCTGTCCATTATTCCATTTTTAGGAAAGCTTTATATAACAAGATTTACTCTGGATAAGCACCTTGAAGAAATAGATTGGAAAATTAAAATAAATAACTTAACTCTAGTTAATTAACTTTTAAGGTTTGCATGCAATAATAAACAAGAATATCTAACGAAATTTTTAATTGATTAGCAAATTATCCAACCATGGCTCAGGATTTGTTTTTAAAGTTGCAATTACTTTCATACATCACTGTTTTCACTACAGATAGAGGAAACTTTTAAAACCATGCTGTCCAGCAAATGTTATAAAAGGCCTCATTAATGCCTCTTGGGTTGTCCAAGAAACTGAGTTAAGAACCAAGTCCACCTTTTGAGAGTGCTTTGTAAAATGCATAAACATCAACACTGGTGAAAAAAAGCGATAAAATATCTCCCTTTTGCAATTATTTTGGATATTGATCACTGATAACATTGTGGTAGACTCTAATTGGATATTTGATGAAATGCTTGCAGATGTTTTATGCTGTACAGAAAATTCTGTAGTTGGACATTTCAGGTAATGTAGCCTAAGCAAACTGTTAACTGCTTTTGATGTTGTACAGGTTGATGACATTTGACTGATTTAGTTTGTTTTTGTAAAAACGTCTTTGTACATTGTTTCATCGGGAGTTGATTACATTCATTGTGATGAGATTAAAACAATAGAGAAAACCTAAAAACAATTGAACAAAGCTTGTACGTGTTACTTCAAGAAAGTGTATGTTACAAATAACGATATTAAGCTGTAGCTTTGGATTGCTGAATATTTGAACAGGGATTCATGTTTGGTTTTGTTCTATATGTGCCTTCCAGTGTAAATTCATTACATTAGCAAATTGTTTTGTGTTACATGTGAAGAAGATATGAAAGAGCCAGATGATGTAAATATGACAAACAATGCAACTATGCACAGGAAGGAATTTGTTTGTGGAGTTACTTTGTATATTTTATATTCATTTGAACCAGATAATTGATGAGAGAAAGCCTGGAGATATTTTGACTCATTTGGGACTTTATGGCCATTCAACTGACTGGCATCATTATCCAATTTGCAGAATAAATACAGCACTTTGCCAAATAAGTGTGTCAACTTTATAGACTTGTAGAATTAGTGATATAATTTTATTTACTAATTTAGTATATACCTATTTATTAGTGAATCCAAAATGTTAACTAGTGCAGATTGCACTGTGAAATTGTGTTTTTTTATAAAATGAATATTTTCTTGTTATCTCTCTATCCACATAACCGGAATATGTTCTTTGTTTTATGTTCTAATAATTGTTTATTTCTTTCTTGTATTAAATGTGGAAATGTTTAATTTGTCAATAAATGTAATAATTTGAGTTTGATTATTGTCACTTCTTTAATAAAAACAAAAGCAGAACCAAACAAACTGATAAACTCTAAATCAGTGAGGTCTAAATGATACCACTGCCTTCAGTATGATTGTTGAGAGGTGCTGAACATTGAGATGGGGAGGTGAACATTTACAAGTTGTGGTCCAAGTGGGAAGGAATGACACAAGAAGGAAAGGCTTGAGGTCCTGCAAGCTGGGATTTAGGAGCTAGAGAGGAAATTTAAGAGCAACATTAAGAGACAACAACAGGCAGATGAAATAAAATGGAGGGTAGTATTGAAGTAGGAAAAGCTGATGAGGGGCAGTATAATATTAGAATTTTAAAGAAGTGCTGGAACAGAGGCACCTTTGGGTGTATATTTATGTCTTTGAATGTGGTAGGGATGTTGAGGCTATTTCAAAAGCATATGGAATCTTTAGATTTATTAGTAGAAGCATAGTTAATAAAACCAACAGGTTACAATTGTTGGGCTTCAACTGGAGTGTTGTGTTCAATGCATGCTTTTGGACGATCTCGAGACCTAAGAGAGGTCATGCAGAAGGAACTAATTAGAATTATACCAGCCATTGGCAACTTCAGTTACGTTGACAGACTGGAGAAATTTAGATTGCAGTCCTTAAAGTAGAGAAGGTTAAAATGAGATTTGACAAAGGTGCTCAAAATCATGAATGGTTTTAGAAAGCCAGGAACTTAGAACAATCATCATCATTAGGGAAAATTACTGAACAAACTGTAGGAATTGAAGGCACACAAGTCCCCAGGGCCTGATGGCCCATGTCCGAGGGTCTTAAAGAAAGTGACAGCAGAGATAATGGTTCCACTGGTTGTGAGACTTCAAAATTCCCTACATGCAAGAAAGGTTCTTGTGGATTTGAAAAATGCTAATATAATGCGCTTATTCAAAAAGAAAGGAAAAAAGGAAGTAGGAACCTATAGACCAGTTACTGTACCATCTGTCTTTAGAAATTGTTAGAATTCATTACTGAGGAAGTAGTAACAAGATGTTTGGAAAGTCAAAACACAATCCATCCAAGTCAGCATGGTTTTATGAAGGGTAAATCATGTTTAATTAATTTGCTAGAGTTCTTGGAAGATGTAACAAACAAAGTGCATAATGGGGAACCTGTGATGTTGTATATCTGGACTTCCAGAAGGCATTTGATAAGGTGCCATACAACAGGGTTATAAACAAAATAAGATTAAATGGAATTAGGGGTAATTTATTTGCTTGGATAGAGGATTGACTAATCAACAGAAAGCCGACAGTTGGGATAAATGGGTCTTTTCATGGTTGACAAGATGTAAATAGTGGGATGCCATACGGTTTGGGTCCTCCGGACCCAAAATATTTACGTACAATATTAATATTTGGATGCAGGGATAGTAGGTGAGGTTGTTGACTTGCTCATCGAGCTGGCTTGTTTTTGTTCAGACGTTTCATCACCATGCCAGGTGACATCATCCGTGAGGCCTCCAATGAAGCGATGTTGTTCTACACCACTTGGAATTGATACTGTCAGGTCTGTAATGGTGAGTACTGTCATTTCCAGTTTTGTTCTGTATGGGTTTCAATTCTATATGTTTGTTGATTGCATTATGGGTTGAGAACTATGCCTCTAGGAATTCCTATACATATCTATGTTTGGCTTGGGCTACTATGGTTACGTTGTCCCAGTTAAACTGATGGCCTTCATTGTCCGAGTGTACTGATATTAAGGAAAGTTTGGCATGTCGTTTTGCTGCTAGTTGATGTTTGTGTATTCTGATGGCTAGTTTCCTTCCTGTCTGTCCGATGTAATGCTTGTTGCAGTCGTTGCATGGTATTTTGTAAACTACTCTGGTTCTGCATGTTGTGGGATAGTAGGTGCCACAGCCAAATTTGCAGATGACACTAAAACAGGTGGGAAAGTAAGTTGTAATAAAGAAATAAGAAATTTACAAATAGATATGGATAACTAATGTGAATGGCCCAAAATTTGGCAGATGGAGTTTAACATGAATAAGTACAAAGAACAGTACAGCATAGGAACAGGCCCTTCAGCCCACCAGCCTGCACCAGCACATGAAGCCTTTCTAAAATAAAAAACCCTTTGCCTCTACATGATGCATATTCCTCTATTCCCTGCCTATTCATATACTGTCAAGATGCCTCTTAAATATTTCTATTGTATCTGCCTCCACCACCTCCTCAAGAAGCACATTCCAGCCATATACCACCCCTATGGCTTCTCATATCTCGTTTCAACTTACCCCCTTTTACCTTAAATCTATGTCCACTGGTAATTGACATTGCTACGCTGGGAAAAAGACTCCAACTATCCATGCCTGTCTTAATTTTGTAAGTTTCTTTCAGGTTGCCCCTTCATCCTTTGATGTTCAAGCAAAAGAAAAGACCCAAGTTTGTCCAATCTTTCCTCATAGCTAATAACCTCCAAGCTAGGCAACAAATGGGTAAATTCTTTCTATACCCTCTGCAAAGCCTTCACATTCTTCTTGTAATGAGGCAATAATACAACAAATTCCAAATGTGGCCTAACTAATGTTCTATAGAACTGCAACATAACTTGCCAATTTTTATACTCTACAGCTCAACCAATAAAGGCAAACATGCCATTTGCCTTCTTCGGCCACCTTATCCACTTGCGTTGCCATTTTCAGGGAACTATGTTTCTGCCTAGGTCCCTCTGTATATTGATATTACTAAGGGTTCTGTATAGTTCCTCTTGCATTAGAGTTTCCAAAATGCATCACCTCGTATTTTCCCAGATTAAACTCCATGTGCCATTTCTCTGCCCAAGTCTCTAGCCTATCTATATCCTGCTGTATCTGGTAATCCTCCTCACTATCTGCAGCTCCCTCAATCTTTGTTCATCCTCAAGCGTACTAATCAGATTACCTACGTTCTCCTCCAAGCCATTAATACATATATATCAAGTGTGATGTTACCTATTTCGGTCAGGAATATAGAAAGGCAATCCATTAACTAAATGGAGAGAAACTTAAGATTGCTTCAGTGACAGGCATCTGAGTGTCCTTGTGCATGTATTGTAGAAAACTAGTATGCAGGTACATTGGTTAATAAGGAAGGCAAATGGAATTTTGGCATGTATTGCTGAAGGAATAGAATATAAAAATAGGGAAGTATTCCTGTAACTGTAATAGGTAGAAATGTGTATAATTTTCATCCCCTTACTTGCATTGGAGGCAGCTCACAGGAGGTTCACTAGATTGTATTCAAGAGTTGAGGAGTTTGTCTTATGTAGGGAGATTGATCAGTTCAGGCCTGGACCCTCTAGAGTTTAGAAAAATGAAAGGAGATCTAATTGATGTGCATAAGCTGCTAATGGGGATTGACAAAGTAGGTGTAGAGGGGATGCTCCCTTGTGGAGGGGAGCTGATGGCATAGTGGTATTATTGCGAGGCTATTAAGCTGGAGGCATAGGTAATATTCTGAGGACCTGAGTTCAAATCCCACTCCTGGTCAATGGTTGAATATGAATTCAATAAACATCTGGAATTAAAAGTTTGTCAATTGTCAGGAAACACCAATCTGATTCACTAATTTCCTTCTCAGCAGCATGGTGGCTCAGTGGTTAGCACTGCTGCCTCACAGCACCAGGAAGTTAGGTTCAATTCCACCCTCGGGTGACTGTCTGTGTGGAGTTTGTACATTCTCCCTGTATTTGTGTGTGTTCCCTCCGGGTGCTCTGGTTTCTTCCCACAGTCCAAAGATGCACAGGCTAGGTGGATTGGCCATGCTAAATTGCCCGTGGTGTTCAGGGGTGTGTAGATTAGGTGGGTTATAGGGGGATGGGTCTGGGTGGGATGCTCTGAGGGTCGGTGTAGACTTGTTGGGCTGAAGGGCCTGTTTCCACACTGTAGGGATTCTATGAATTGTGGGGCAATCTGGAATGAATGGTCATAGTTTTAAGGTAAGGAGTTACAGATTTTAAACAGAGACGAGAAGAAATTAATTCTCTCAGCTACTTCTATGAATTTGTGGAATTCATGACCCCGAGTGTGATGGACTTTGAGTAAATTTAAGGAGGAGATATACAGATTTTTAGTTGAAGGGCTGAAGGGTTAACAGGCAGGAAAGTGGAGTAGAGGCCAAGATGAGGTCACCCATGATACAATTGAATCACAAAACAGGCTCAAGGAACTGAACTGCCTCCTCCTGCTCTTAATTTTTATGTTGTGTTCTTATGTTCTTAACAAAGTGAATAAAGAAATGGTTTCCAGTAGCAAAGGGGTAAGTAACCAGAGAACACAGATTTAAGATTGGCAAAAAAGAAAATCAGAGGTAACATGACTTTTTGCACAAAAACCAAAAGAACTGTGGATGCTGTAAATCAGAAACCCAAATAGAGATTGCTGGAAAAGCTCAGCCGGTCTGGCAGTACCTGTGAAGAGAAATCAGAGTTAATGTTTCAGGTCCGGTGACCCTTTCTCAGAAATGATGGTAGCTAGGAAAATGTCAGTTTATATGCAGAAGATAAGGTGGGGGAAGGGGGTAAGGAGTAAATGATAGGTGAGGATATAGCCCAAGGAGAGAGAAGACGGTTGGACAGACAAAGGAGTGGGAACATCTTGCTAGGACAGTGGCTAACTCTTAATGGAGACTGGTAGTGGCCAACAATAGGTTGTGTGTAATGGCAGACCATGTGATAAGGCCTTGTGTGGGGTGAGGGGCTGGGACATGAGAGAGTTTAGGCCTTTAAATTATTGAACTCAATATTGAGTCTGGAGGGCTGCAATGTCCCCAAGCGGAAAATGAAGTGTTGTTCCTTCAGCTTGCACTGAGCTTCGCTGGAACACTGCAGCAAGACTGAGACAGAGATGTTGGCCAGGGAACAGGGTGGTGTTTTAAAGTGGCAGGCAACTGGAAGCTCAGGATCCTTTTTTGCTGGCAGAACGTAGATGTCCTGCAAAGTGGCCACCCAGTCTATGCTTGGTTTGTCCAATGTAGAGGAGACCATATTGTG